CAATTGATTCAATATCCAGTTTAGATGATACTCCACTTACGCAGGGAATCGATCACGGCTATTCTCAAAGCTGTCGTGATAAAATAATTTAAAGAATCTCCTAAATTCAAGTCGTTTGAACACGAGGCTACATAGAAATTATATAAGTCATCACTAAATTTAGCCTATTTAAAGCAATATTTTACAAAAAAAAGTAGAAACATATCAATGAATTATAAAAAATATTACTGTTTGCAAGATCATTAAAATTACCAGCATCAATATCATACAGGGATGTATAAATATCCACCACACGACCACAATTAATAAATATTTACAGTGATTACAATGCCTCTGCAAGTAAACCTGTCAAATTCTCTCCCCTAACATGATTAAGCTTACTTGTAAACTAAGCTCTCTCCACACCCCAAGATCCCACTTCATCAGAAAAATCAAAAATCTCACTTTTTTCTAAAAGCAGGACACACGGAAAATGGGTTATGTTGAAGGCACAAATAAAATAGTTAAAAGTTATTGCTATTGTCAATTCTACATATGTCAAATCAATCATATACTATCTGAGATTACCTAGCGACCTGTCTTCGCTCTCTATGTGGGCGCAGTCAACCGATTTCCATGTTATTCTATGTTGTGCAGACCTTTTCCATTTCTGGCCAAACATTCTAATGAATGGTTCATCCCATCTTATTCGTAGTCTGCCCAGGGGCCTTTTCACTCCTCTTGGAGTCCATTGTGTTATTCGACTAGTCCAACGGTTATCATTCATTCTCGCTGTATGCCCTGCCCATCTTCTTTTACTGACGTATATTTCGTTTACTATGTCTTTCACTTTGGCCATCGAACGTGACTCCTCATTTTTTATCTTATCTCTCCGTGAACAATTTAATAATACCATCTCAGATATAATTATTAAATTGCTCATTGTAATTAGTAATTTAATACAACGTTTGATCATTATAATGAAGAATTCTTAGAATTACTAAATTAGAATTTAACGGCATCAAAATGAACGAACGTTCAAATAAATTTCTACACGTATATGACTTAACTGATAGAGATAATATCGATCAAACTATTGCAATCCATTAAAAGACGACTGATCGTGCATTAACCTCTCAACAGAATTCTGACTGCAACCAGTGGCTGATGGCTGTGTTTACGGAATGATAAATTCAGGTCTTGAGAATGTGCTCAATACGGATGCGAATGTGTCGAGAACACGTACAACTACGGATCGATCGAGATTCATCCGATACATTATATCTTCAATGTGATGCTCGCCGTTCAGATATGGTAGTAATCTGAATTTAAAAAGTTTGATTGGAACAAGTTTTCATCTTAGTTTGAATTTCACCTCATGAATGCTGCAAAAACCATTGGTTAAATTTTGATGCACTCATTTGAATGCACTCACACCGAAAACGTTACTGACAAATTGTTTACTGACAGTGCATTTAAGGTTACTAATGTGAAATGATATGATCAACTTGAAACAGTGTGAATTTATTATTGATTAAACGATCAGGAGAGGCAGGAAATTTCGAATGAAATGTGAAATGAAATGAAGAATGCGAAGAGCATCAACCTGATAAACAAGGCGAGTGTACTCTCGACCTGTTCACTGCTTGAATTCGTTAATAGAGAATTACAAATCGATGCGACAGTACTCTTTATTTCATTGGTCAATTGCGCTGATACAATCATTTCCTTGATCTTCTCATCTTTCAATGATTCAAGTCCATCACTGAAATATTAGAGGGCACTCTCTTCGAATACATCATCAAACATTTCAAGGAGCCAGTGGCAAAGTTGAGTGCAAAGCGATTATCCCTATTCGTATCACTTCAGTTCTGTTAAAATCGTCGCTAACTCCATTCAGCATGCGCGAGGAACCCTCCGCCAGTTGTTGTGTGCACCAGATGTGGGCAATAGCGCACTATTCCGCCATTCCGCTACCAGCAAAATAACGAAATAGCTATTCCGCCAGTCGTCTGCAGCGGGATATCGCGCTATCGCCCACCTCTGGTCTGCACTCATTGAAAATCCTCACACTTTCAGAACATGAACTGACTGGACGATGACGCTTTTCAAAAGATTTGCAGAAATTTTTGCTGAACAAAACAACGTTTTGGACGCAAAAAGGGAGAGATAAAAGTATTTTGTCGAGCGGCTGAGGCTCGTTAAGCCTCTGCCAGCAATCTCAAAAATATTGTTCAAAAAATAAACTATAAAAAAGTTATTTCGGGAGGAGGGACATGCCTTGGGCCTCAGCTGATTGCTACGAAAAAAAATTGCTCATGGAGCAGAACGACCCTCAACTCCTTCGTTTTTCTTCGTCGGCAAAAGGTCTCAGCATCCCTAAAACCCATAAAATGCCCTTCATGCCATCCAATACTTCATCCAATATGGATTACCTAGCGACCTGTCTTCGCTCTCTATGTGGGCGCAGGTCAACCGATTTCCATTTCCATGTTATTCTATGTTATGCAGACCTTTTCTATTTCTGACCGAACACTCTGACGAATGGTTCACCTCATCTCATTCGCGGTCTGCCTAGGGGCCTTTTCATTCCTCTTGGAATCCATTATGTCATTCGACTAGTCCAACGGTTATCATTCATTCTCGCTATATACCCAATACGGATACCCATTTCACATGAAATTCAACTAACATTCCAGAAATTTGATTCGAGAACGGAGGTAACAAATAAAAGAACGTATGCAACTGCATTATAAGTTCGTCACGCAGCAGTCTCGCGACCATTCGCAATCGAACACGCTGAATAACATTCATTTTATAATTACGTGAAATAATGCAAAGTGAACAAAATAATCTCAGAAAAATAAAACGAAACGATGCAAAATTGCTCAAAAACAATAATGAAAAGTTTCAGTGCAAAATAAAACAATCAATGAATGCTGAATACAATTGTCAAACTATTAATCTTTCTAAAAGATCCAAATGAAATAATCAAAAAACCTGCTGATCCACAGAATATAACGACGCGTTCGTGAATTCAGCGAGTGTGCACGGTGGTGAGAATTCAGCCAGTACCGATGCCAGTTCGGCATCCTCGAATAATTCCGAGAAGTTTTCCGATAAGCTGAAAATTTTTCAAATTATTTTCTAAAGAATGAGAAAAATTGAAAATATTCGAAAAATGCCTTCACAAATAACATTCATTCATTCTATGATTACAATCGTAAGATCCGCCACTGTCAGCTATCGAATAAAGTGAAAGTATTCTTTCAACGTATCAAATACTTTACTTCAATATTTCAGAAAAAAACTGGAATCTCTTAAGTTATCATTCAGCAACTAACACACCCATAAAACTGCGTCGTTACGCAATTCAACATTTCCATAGCGCAGTTCGAATGTGATTTAGCGCAACAACACTGTGAATTATTGAAGAACAAACGGATCAATCAAATAATCGCATTAATAATGACCATCACAATAGTGATAACAATAACAATAATGATTACTAAACAGATTATTAGATATAAGCGATTGCTTAGTCTAATTCAGACTTTATATCATCCGCGACATTGATTCACCATTCGGTTTCGAACAAAATCGCCCGCTCGGAGAAATGTTTTGCTCGAATTTATTTTATCAAATTTTAAAAATTATTTTTTTCTCAAGAACACATTTGCTCGAATTTATCAAATTTTCTCAAGAAGAGCTCGATTGATGTATTGATTTCAAAATACAAATTATTAATGTTTTTCGAAAAGAACACTTCATGTAGTTTGCATTGAAGTAAAATGACATTGATAGAAATAAAATGAAATGGAAATAAAACAAAATTTCCAACAACGACAGAGCTAATTTACTGATATTTTCATGACTTCGATAACTATTCGCAGTCGACTGCTGAGCGATAAGTAAGATCTAACTGCAGAGTCGTATTATAATTCCGCATTTGCGATCACATGAATGTTTCATATTCTTTAAGTTACATCTAAAAACATACAATTTGCTACTCTCCTGCAGTCAGCAGCATAGCCACGATTTTTTCCACGCAGCAGGGAGTCGTAGGAGACGCAAAATCGCCTGCTCGCGGCCTCCTACACTCCCATCTCCCTTNTACTAAGAATTTTTCCAAAAAAATACAAACGAATCAAATAAATTCCAACTTATTCAGAGGTTTTGGATGAGTGGCTGATGAATAGACGTTACTACTACACAACGGATAGATAACGACGGCTCTGGCCCATAGTAGAAGATGCCTTACGACCAGCAACACTTGCACCAGCGGTAAACCAGATGCATTACTTATTCCAATTAAACTGAAATTGATCTTCTCCGTTCATTGCTATTGATCATCGAATAACAATTACAAACAGAACACATTGGTGGTTTACACTGAGATAAAATGAAATTGACAAAAATAAAATGATATAAAAATAAACATAATTTTTGACAACCACAACGATCTGTTGCTATTTTCATATATGTAGCATCACATCCACTAATTCGCATCCACTCAAAATAATCAACTATTTTAAAGGAATATTTTAAGTGGGCATCAGCATCACCTTTTATCCGGTTCACAATGCTTCAGAATGAGGCGAACGGACGGGTTCGAGTCTGGGGACGGTATTGATTCTTCAAGTAATATTATACCATGATATGGACGAATCTTACGTATCATACATTCCACTTCACTTCTGAAATCGTTATTTGCATTAACTCACATCGATCTCATTTCAGGGAATTCATTCCCAAACCTTAACGAG